TAAAACGTAACTAAAACTAACCTAAAAATATTATTCTTTTAAAAAACTGTTGTGAAACCTGTACAAAGTATAAAATATATTTGATCGGCAAATAGCTGAGATAAGGCTGCTATTCATTAACTGATCAGGTTAGTGGAGACTTGAATGGATGTTGACGTGGGGGGAAAACACAAGCAGACGTAGTCGGATAAAGGGCAGTCCGCTAACATGTGGTGAATAATTAACATCTTCATTCTATAATTAGTGAGAAAATGTACTTTCCACTCTTTGTTTGCACATGTGAGGAGCATCTTGGTGTTTATCTCGCTCCTAGCGCTGATGTAACGTGTCTCCTATGTCCATCTTCAACATTCTGTGACATTGTCTGAACTATGTTAGTGCTCTGAAGGGCAGCCCCTTCAGTGACCCTGACCCTGCTGAGTTTTCAATGAGTTTGCATCAGAGGGGAGGAGGAGTAAAGGCAGCACACGTTGCACAGCTTGGATAGGAAGGCGCAGCGCAACAAGACCCTCAGCTAACACACACACACACACACAATCTCTTCACATGCCCTGCTGAAACATGACACCTTTCCTCGGTGTCAGCGTCTTCCTTGCTGCTCTCACCTACATCACCTACAAGCTGCTCAGCGATTACTTGCACAAATGGTTCCAGATGAAGCCAATCCCCGAGTTGGAGGCAACGTACCCCTTCGTCGGAAACGCACTGGAGTTCAAAACCAGCTCGGGAGGTAAGAAAACACTGAGCACGCTGCAGCAGGAGGCTGGCTACACCTATCCCTGTGCAGATTGTTATATAATGCAGCATTTCTGCAGGTTTATAATAGTTTCTTTATTTCAGATTTCTTTCGCCAAATTGAGGATATGACCCGCGAGTTCTACAACAAACCTCTGTTTAAGCTCTGGATTGGAACGGTGCCATTTGTGATCCTGTTTCACGCTGACACTGTTGAGGTATGCTGATCCACCGTGTTCATACAGTAGTCCACATGACTTATCTCATACTTCTATAAATATGTCACATTTTCTTTTGTGTAAAAGCTTCAAACATTGAAACAGCTCTCCATTTATGCCAGATGCTGTCTTTTGTCATGAATGTTTTAAGTATTGTTATTTCTGTCCGTCCTGAAACAGGATCCCTCGCTCTCTCTGAGGTCACTGTGCAGGTTTTTTTTTGGTCCCCTTTTCTTCTCTGGTCGAGTATTGGGAACAGAAGATGTCGGACCTTGTTACACCCTTTGAGGCTAATTTAGATTTGTGAATATGAGCCATACAAATGAAACTTACAGTTACAGATGTAAATATATAAAACATCCACATATACATTTAAAACAACTCACACATTAAATGACAACGTGTTACCTTGATGACGATGCTCAGACTGAAGCCACTGTATCGTACGTAACTTATAATAAAACCCAACCTCCACCTGAATCTACAGCCTGCACTTAAAGTGGTTACACTCTAAGATATGGTTGATACGTAATTGTGAATACATCTGTTGAGTGGCCCAACTGTAATAACAGCATTAAAATACATTCTCTTGATCTTGTGCTATATATTTTCAATATTACTGTTCATGATGTTTTTTGTAGGTATTTCTGAATAACTCTACTCATTTGGACAAAGCTTATTCATACAGCTTCCTCCACCCTTGGCTTGGAACTGGTCTTCTTACTAGGTATGTACCTCACAGTATTGAAGAAGACATATTCTGCTCATATTGAGGTCCATCATTTTAATTTGTGTTATCAATTGAAAATGTTCCCTTTACTGTGGTCGCTAAGAATTTATAATTTATTCTCTGTAATGCCCACCTTTCTTTTCATTAAATTAATTTTCTGGATATCTAATTTTGGAGCAAAATGATATCGAATTCAATTTAGAAACAATGACTTTGATTGGATTTAAATGAAATAAAGGTTCCTTTCTGTTATTATGAAGAATTTTCCCATTTTAAATTGTTTCCTCCTACTTTCAGCACCGGGCAGAAGTGGCGTCAGCGGCGGAAGATGTTGACACCCACCTTCCACTTCTCTATCCTGACGGACTTCTTGGAGGTGATGAACGAGCAGGCGGAGATCCTGGTGAAGAAGCTGGAGAAACAGGCAGGGAAAGGTTCCTTCAACTGCTTCAGTCACGTCACTCTCTGCGCTCTGGACATCATCTGTGGTGGGTGTACGGAAAATGTGTAAATGTCAGAATTATCCTTTTCCCTCATATAAAGCACATTAACAAGAAAGAACACCGAACATCTTACGCTGAATTCTAGATTCACTGACTCGTGGACAGGATTGAATAAAACCTTCAACAATGTAATTTCAGAAACTGCAATGGGAAAGAAAATCTATGCCCAGAGTGACTCAAATTCAGAATACGTTGAAAGTGTGTACAAGTGAGTGATTTTCATTTATATTTATTGATCTGATGCTTGGATTTAATATCCGTCTGCTTTAACTCAATGTTTCTGTTTACTCTCAGAATGAGTGACATTATCAGCCGCAGACAGAGGAAACCTTGGTTTTGGTCTGACATCGTGTACAACTACTTTGGTGAGGGTCGGGAGCACGACAAGACACTCAAGGTTCTGCACTCTTTTACATACAACGTGAGTAACGGAGTCACCGGTGGAAAAAAATGTGTCTCACAGTTAATTTCTGTCGATGAAACAACATCACAACAACGCTTCACTTGATTTCTTCTCAGGTGATCCATGAAAGAGCGGGGGAAATTTCCTCTACTGTATCAAACAGCGAATCTGAGAACGGCAAAAAGAAACGACAGGCATTCTTGGACATGCTCTTGAAGACTACAGATGAGGACGGCAACAAAATGAGCCACCAGGACATTCAAGAGGAAGTGGACACCTTTATGTTCAGGGTTAGTGGTCACAAATAAAACTGAAGAAAAGGTTTTTAAGGTGAACTAATCAATATTTTTCTTTCCAATAAGAATTTGATTTGTAAGTATTGATGAACGTCCATCTAAAAGCTATACAATCTGTTGTGGTGTTCCTCAAAGCTCTGCGGTACATGTCTCTGGAACAGCCTCCCTAAAGAAAACTAGCAACAGTTGATGTTGAGGTTTTAAAACACAAATTCAAGACCTAGGTTATAGTCTAACTTTTAATTTAATTTAATGTGTTTTACCATTATATTGATTTATTGTATTTTATTGTATAAATATTTTTCTGAAATTGTTTTCTGTTTAATACACATTTTATCTCTTGTTTTACTTAAAATGAATCCATCTTGTAGCATTTCATTTTGGTCATTTGGTCTACATTATGTTTTTTTTGTAATCTCCTTTAGTATTTTTTTTTCATCTTTTTAAATATTTTATTGGGAAAATAAGAATGAATGCAGGATTTACTGTGGAATTGGAAAAGCAACTTCAGATGAATGACTAATGTGTTTGACGTGTGAAGTAGTTTTCTAATATGACCATGACAACTTAATAATGTGATAATATGACAATGTGACCTGAAATATCTTTATTTTTGCAGGGTCATGACACCACAGCCGCCTCTATGAACTGGTGCCTACATCTGCTGGGCTCCCACCCTGAGGTGCTCAGCAAAGTTCAACAAGAGCTTCAGGAGGTGTTCGGTAACATGTCCTCTCTCCTTCAACAGCACATCATCTTAATTTCATGACACCACACTTGTTTTTCCTGCCCCGAGGCCTTTTCTCTCCTTTGTTCCATTCAAGTGAAGGGAAGCTTACACTGGGATAAGAGCTGTGAAAAATATGTCAAGAATAATTGAATTACTTCCACTCATGTGTGGATTTATCAGAACATTTTCCACGATGGCAAGCTACATGTTGCCATGGAAGATATGAGATGTGCACTCGCTTGAGGTTTTTCTATGAACATCTATAAAATTGATGCAAGTGTCTTTGGTAGTTTCAGACTGATGCAGTTATTTTTCCATCCAGGTTTGCTTTAATGTACGAATATTACATTTATTGAATGTACGTAACATATAAATAAGAATTTAAGTAATTATATCCAAATAGTCGAGCTAAAATCACTGCTTATTATTTATTATATGCATATAGTTGGTTACATGTCGTGTTCACTCTAGCAATCCGGTGCAAGCAGGCCTGCATGGGTTTTAAAGGGAATGGGATAAGGCGCTCTGATTGGTTTATTGCATGTTATGTCCAAAACACACCCTCGACTTTTCAACCACTTGGCGCAGCAGACTCTTGTTAAACTGGCAAAAGTGGGTTTGATTCCCTTGCACCGTGTGTACATAAATCATTAGATTACTGCCCATGAACTTGTGTGTGTTATCACCTCAACACAATATATGCAAGGGTGTAGTACTACATGACTCTTATCTATGTTGGAGGCAGGTAAACATACAAGTAGGAGAAAGGTCAAGAGCAGGAAACTGGAGCTCATTGTAAATAACAGCTGTCTGACCTAAGAACTACACTCTGCTTTGTTTATATATATTTTAACAGTATTACCTGATCAATGTGCAAAGGTACATCTGACCGGCCCGCTAACACCGAGGACCTGAAGAAGCTGAAATACCTGGAGTGTGTGATCAAGGAGACCCTGCGACTGTTTCCCTCTGTGCCTTTCTTTGCCCGCCGCATCTGTGAGGACTGCCACATCAGTGAGTAGCACATGAAATGTTCGTTTGTTGCGTGGAAATCAACCCGAGGCAGTGGTGTGTATGTTGCAAGACACCAAGTCCTGTTGAAATTCTTTGGCGAAAAAAGTAATTTGAGAAATTAGTCTGAAAAGAGACGGTGAGTGAGTGATCTCAGAATCTCAGGTGAAATTATTACAAAAAAACCAATCTGTATTATCATGTTCCTTTCTTAAAAAAAAGAATCCTACACAGTTCAGTTGCTGTAAAGCTCTGAAGTTACAGCTCAGTTTTGATGAAATCATATGACGTCATTACTGAACAACTTTTCTCCCAACACAGCAACTAATTTGGGGATTACAATGTTATTATAACCAAAAACTATGGTGAAGTTATAAAAATAGGATTTAAAAATGTCCGCGTGCTGTATTTTTTAATTCGGCCTTCCTTCCTCTCCCATTTGGACATCTTTCACCTCAACTATGAAACTCATAATAAAAACAGTTTTGACCTTTAGATGGTTTCAAGATTCCCAAAGGGGCCAACACAGTCATCGTCACATACGCTCTTCACCGAGACCCACGATACTTCCCTGAACCCGAAGAGTTCAGGCCCGAACGTTTTTTCCCTGAGAATTCGGTCGGAAGGCCTCCATATGCGTACATCCCCTTCTCCGCTGGACTCCGCAACTGTATAGGTAAGAAGATGAGAGACTTCATTTTATAATTTACTGGATCTGTTTTTTCTGTCTTTATCGAGAGGATGGACTTTAAGTTTGAAAGCTGGACTTCTTGATTTCACGTTTAGATTTTGTAGTGCTTTCACTCACACTCAAATAGCCCCTGCTTGTGCTTAGATTCGCTTCTGCTTGTGCTCAAACTTTTTCTCCTCTGCCCTTGGATCTATTCTTCTGCGTTTGGATGTTTTTGTTCAACAAAATCCTTCAACAAATATTAATATTAATAGTACATTTTATTTGTGTAGCTCTTTTCAAGAAACTCAGAGACACTTTACCTAGAATTTAAAAGAAAGCTATGCTAAAGATAAAAACAATGTCTGGTGTTGACAGAAGAGGACAAGAGCTGAAGCTGGAACACTGAAAATTCAGACAACAAAATATCTGAGAGCAAGCGCACAGTCTGAGCACAAGCACAGTTTATCCAAGCACAAGCTGGGGCTGTTTGAGTGAGATTGCTGGGTTTTGCTCTCAAACTGAAAGACCATGCTTTTGAATAAAGATAAGACAGAAAAGACGATACATACTTTGATCTTTTTCGAGCGAGGCTCTTTAATGTGTTTATCCTGTGTCGGGCATTGTTGCTCCTCAGGTCAGCGTTTTGCACTGATGGAGGAGAAGGTGGTTATGTCGTCCATTCTGCGCCACTTCAGTGTGGAAGCTTGCCAGAAACGAGAAGAGCTGCGGCCGGTGGGCGAGCTGATCCTCCGACCAGAGAACGGCATCTGGATCAAACTGGAGAAGAGGACGAGTCCGACCTCATCAAACTAGAGCCTCAGCCTCAGTTTATTTACAGTTCATCCTCTCAGACTCTAATGGTGGTGATGTTTTTTTTCTCATCATTGTCATTACAATCACAAAAACTAAGCCTTATAAAAATATACAGAGATGTGTCTGTTTATTTCTTTATATTCTGATTAGATCATTCATCCACAGGGACCTTCTCACTGTGTATTTTTATTTCCCTGTTTTTGTGCGAGTCTGATTGTTTAGAACAGTTTGTGTAACTGAAGAAATGGGCACATTGAAGAAATTGTTTTTTCACCAATGTAAACCTGCTCCACACAATAAAATGTTGGAGACACTTTAATTAAAAACTTTAACAGAGGGGTAATCTTGTTATTAGTAAAACCTGCGCTTTTCCTATCATGACGAATCATAACGCTATAAACAAGCGTTACATACTGATGCATAACTAACTTGGGTCTTAACAGATGTTTAACTGCTTCTCTTCACCATTGTATATGGGGCAGGTACTGGTTTGTCCGAGTTTGCACGTTGTTTATATTAAGAACTGCAGTGACATCAAGGGGCAGAATCATTTTCCCTTTCAAATTTACAGATAATCACATTTAATGTTAAAACGTGAATGAGTTTCTCTTATAATTTAATATTACACTAATATTACACAGCACGGGTACTAGTCAGGAGCCAAATGAACGTACCTTACTACATTTCCCATAATGCATTGCATTTCTCATTCTACCCTGCTGGTCCTTTGAACATGCAAAGCTTTAATACTGCACAACCCGAGTTTGTAACAGCGACTCAGTGACAATTACTCCAACCTAACTCTAAAACATACATCTTTCTTTGTCAAAACGTGACCTCTTGTCTCCCTGATACCCGAGAGAACGTTCACTCTCACAATGAACAAACGCTATTTATTCACTGAATCACATTGAGGTCAGAGGGATCCATTGTAACAAAGTAATCATCGCATGACACAGATACAAATGACCTCATCCATAATGTCACAGGATGATTTAGCTGGGGGGGGGTCATTGCTTCAAACCAAAAATTACATAACTGATGATGAATCGCTGATTTTTTCCAGTGCTATTTTTTGAATTATTGAGCACATCTCTTATCGATGGCAGGATGGTGATGAGGGGCCAGAGCTCCGAGTGAAGCGTGAAGAATTCATTCATCATTAGGATACAGATGGGAGGAAAAATTAAAAAGGAAAAACCTGAATAAATGAGATGGGAAGCGCAGCGAAGGCAGATGCTGCAACACAAGTGCACCGCATGGTACGATGATGAAGCAGTAAACTTCCAGCGATGTTCTGTGGCATGTTTGAAAACGCTGAGCAGACTGAGTTGATTCTGAGGAAAAGATCTAAGTGGCTTTGAAAGAGGGGTCATTGTTGGGGCACAGGCAGCAGGGGTTTCAGTCACAGACTGTTTTTTCAGCAGGAGACCCAGACTATAAATAACGATGTAAGATGCATTTCTCCCTCCTCTCACTCTGCAGAAATGGAGCCAAAGGGCCAAAACATTACAGATATACGAATGCTGGCATCTTGAGGCAAAGACGTAGGGTGGAGCCAGAGTCTATCAGGGATCCAGGTCCCACCGACACGAGCCTGACCAATCACCCACTGGTTTCATAGCTTATAACTTACCGAAAAAAATGAACACTTGAAGATACATATGCGTGATATAAACTTCCTAAAATGATGAAACCACCTTTGAAATAAATTTTATTCATTTGCATTTAGATTTTTCTAGTTCGATCCATGTCCCGTCCGCTAACATGGGGGAGGATATAAGACCGCTTCTGCTGCCAGCTACTAGGGGGCGACTGAGACAATGGCCTCACTTTTAAGGAACTGTCATGTCTTCCATCTTTATATACAGGCTTTAGTTTGACCCATGTCCCATCAACTAACATGAAGGAGGCAGGGTTTATGACCTATACTGCAGCCAGCCACCAGGGGGTGATTGAGACACAAGGATTTCACTTTCCATCCTCTGGTGGTTGAGAAACTCAGTGCAGGACATGATACATTCATGAATAGAGACACTGTACAATCCCTCGTTACCAAAATAACTTGAGAGGTCGGAGTTTAAAAACCGTCATCTGCAGAGACGTAGGAAAAAGTCAGCTGGTCTGATGAGTCGTCATATTCTTGGCATGCAAGTGAGTGTTCATGTGGGAGGAATGGTTGACCCCCCACAGTGAGGGCATCTGGTGGCTCTGGTTCTGTAGGGGACAGTTTGTTGGCATGAGTTGGGTCCACTTGTCCTCTCAGAGGGAGGAGAGACTGAAAATCAGTACAGGTTTTTCTGAGTGATCCCCTTCCGTCCCGTGATCACAAAGTTCTGTCCTGATGGAAATGGCGTCTGCCAGGAGGAACCAGCCTCCATCAGTTGGCCACACGGGGTCACTGAGGGGCTCCAGCAGAGGGAAAGTGATGTGAATCTGTGCTGTGGCCTTCACAGTCACCAGGTTTCAACCCAACTCAACAGACAGCGCTTTCCACCACATCATCGAGACACAATGAGGGGATTTCTGTAGGAAGAATGTTGTTCCATCCCTCCACTCCAGTTCCACATGCCAGGGAGCATGTCGTCTGTTCTGGTGGCTAAGACACTTTATTTGTTTTTTCCCCTCTAGTGTGTCAACTGTCAATATTGATTTAATCAAAAATATATTTTACTTTGCTGGAAAAATCCAAACAAGCAGGTACCACAGTTCAAAGTATGTAGATGATGCTCGATGATAAGAATTTATTTAGGTCCCAGTATCTTCAAATAAATACAAAAACTTTATATCAAATACAAGAGGGGACAAAAATTACACAAAAAACAATCACAGACAAAAGCACAGAGACATATGGGACTCAATGGAAAACACATGAAGAATCGTGAGAACACGTTAAAAGCAACAAGATTCTGCCATGAAAACTGGTTTTAAAAGATTTCTAAGCACAGAGAGCAACACTTCCAAGTCTGCTCAGCGTGTACACAATGTGTGACAGAGGGTTACAACACACTAGTGTGTGTGTGTTTTGTGTAAGTGTTTGTGCTTTTCCTTGATGCGCCTGTGTCTTTATATTGTTTTAATCATTATTTGTACTAAATTGCCTTTAATTACTCTCTGTCCATGTTTTCATATGACAATCAGGCCATTGGTTTATTAATCATTTGTGCTAAAGCATCTGTGTGTGTACTTTTGTGTTTTAATTGGTTTGTGTCTTTTGTAGGATTTTATTTTTCAAAAATACTAACTGTGCTGAGAAGCAGCATCTCTTGTACTGCTTTCTTTTGTACAATGTCAATGAAAGGCTTTCTATTCTATTCAAAACTTTTTTTACCATCACATGTATTGGGACAGATGAAACTAGTCTGCACGGCTAAATCTGGCTGATGTTAATTAATGTGCAAATAAATATAATCATTTTTTAGGAGCGTCAAGCCAAAAAGTCAGGGGACGACCGCACAAGAGAGAGAAACAACAGCAGGTCACAAATGCCTCAGTGTTGACAAGGACTCATTTCAGTCCCCGTCGTCTGACACGGCTGCTTTTCAGTGTGTCACTTCATTACGACAGTCCACCAGACGCATGTGAAACGCTGTGAAATAACAATAAAAACAACATGAAAGGCTTCTGTCACACTTTAACGTCAGCGAGTGTTATCTGAGACCCTCGCTCCCCGGGGATCCGTGATGAAATTAACTGAAACCACTTTGAGAAACAAAACGACTATGGATTTTCTTTTTCCCCCCATTTCAGCTTGAAAATTGAAAATATTGTGACTCGGCCCCACAGGGAAAATAAGAGGTCCTGTGGTCTAATGCCACAGTCAGGACCTAAAATATGAGGCTCATTAAACTGCACTGCTTTTTAAATATGATGTTGTACAGGCTGGTGACCAGAGAAGGGCAGCAGTGTCTGTGTTTCTGGAAATATACAAGCACAAGCTCACTGTGTGTTGTACAGTGTGTGTATGTGTGTGTGTGTGTGTGTGTGAGGGGAATGGAAGGACGACTGTGTTGCTGCCCGTCACTCTCCTGTTTGTTAATGTAAGTGACAGCTGTGTTCAGTGTGTGTCCAGTTTACAGCTCGTGAGTTGGGGTTTTTAAGTTTTCTCTAATTTGCAGATACGACGAGATTAATTAAGACGGAGGGTGAGCGGAGGAGCGGCCCACTTGCTGTCAAGTAACACGAGGTTAATTAAAGTCTTAATATACTTCTGTGGTTCACTGGAGTTTCTAGTTTAGTTTAGTTTCAAATAAACTCATCCTGATAAAAAAAAGGGTTTTATTTTATCTCAGACTATGACTCCCACTGAGAAAAATGATGATAATACGATCAGTAGAAGTTTGGTTTCAATTCTGTTGTATTTGCACTAAAATGTCAAATTGAACTGTAAGGATTAAGTTTGTGATATTCTCCATTCTAATTATTGGATTTAAACATTTTAAACTAAATAATTAAGCTGATCTCTACAGAAGGAGAACACAGAAGGTTATGGGTTCCGTACCTGATGATTGCGGAGTTTGCTTGTTCTTCCCATGTCTGTGTGGGTCATTAGCGGATACTCTGGCTTCCTCCCACACTGCAACGACATGCATGTTAGACATAGAGTGTGTAGGTGTAAATATGAGAGTGAAGGGTGATTTGTCTCTATCGCTGAAGTATGGACATCTTCCTGAAATCATGCGGAAGGGTTGTATATGATAACAAAAATGTGCGTTGAAATTTCACAGTAAATACAATCACGTGATTTCCGGACTTATACGTAATGTTCTGGCCCCTGCTGCTCTGTCCAGGCCCCACCCTCCACCTGAATGTCCTCGACATTTTCCTGTTGTTGTGAACGTGTCTGACTTGAGCAATATCCTGCTGCGTTCTTCACATATGAAAGACAAGCTGTCCGGACTCAGTTTTCCAGTGCATGTCTGAAAACTGCTCATGACAGCCGTGTCCCAGGCGTTGCCCGGCTCTTGCCTAATGTCAGCTGGGATCGTCTCCGTAATTAATGTATTTCATACTCACGTTTAAATCAAGCTTGATTAAAACAACACAGTGTCCTCTGTGTAGTTTAGAAAATTTCCGTGCCAATTTCTTTAAATTGAAACAATAAACACATGGAGCCCTTTCCACTAGATGTTGGAAACATTTGAAGTTATCCGTCACCTTGCGTTGGTGTCGGGTTGAAGCAGACGGGCTGTTCTCCTCTGATCTAACGTGTCCATCACAGAATGCTTGTTTTTATTTTCTTTCACACCGTTCTGACAAAACTCAGGAGATCAGCAGTTTCACCAATACCACAGACAAAGTCACTGAGAAACACTTTTTTTTCTGAAGCTCCT